CATCAGTTTGTGGAGAAAAACTGGAAACCCCCAAAAAATCATGTCCTAGGAAACTGTACCCTGCAATGTGAAGGAATGCTCTAAGGCCCCTTCCATACTTTTCCCACCCAAATTCTTTCTTAAATTATTTTTCTTCCTCTGGATAATCCGTGTTATATATGTACTAGAAGTCCATATGTAAATATATACGTAATAAGCATCCATGGATGAGCTGCAAAAGAGCTGAGAAAGGTGTACAGAACAATTTAGAAATAGGACTGAGTAGCTTAAAAAGCGACAAAAAATTTCAGTGAGGAAGAATTATGAAGCAAAGCATATGCTCTACATATGTCCTTAAACCTTGGTATTCCATACTTCCTAGCACATATTTTTACCTCTTCCACTCCGCAGTTCCCACTTTTCCCTAAGTACATCATTAGATACATGTGAAATGTTGGCTGTAATTTTTTCTGTTTTAAAAATATTATGCTTATTCAGTAGCATAATATGAATATGGAATATGCTTATTCCAAAAAGAATATGAATATGAATAGGATATACTTATTCCAAAACCCCACAAAGCTGTACGTGTCTAGTCTTGTTATCAATGTGAACAAAGTCTTTCTCATTAGATGGTAGTATTTTGGAATTTCCATCTGCAGTGGAAAGCAGGAATTGCACCACAAATCCAGGCTGACATACACATGAGCTTTTTCTTGTAAGACATGAGACACCATTAAAGGCAATAATACCTTGCAACAGCTAAGGTTTCTATTTTTTTTTCTCTTAAAAGCATGAAGAAAAGCTTACAGTCACAGAGTCTCAATGAGACTAAGACCTACCTATAAGTACGCATTCAAACCCAGTCATTTTGTAACAGGCCCTTGCCACATTCAGTCTGTGATATTAGTCAGAGTGATATTAGGAAACAGATTTAGACATATAAATCTGCCGTTTTCTAGCTTTCATATGTTTCACTTTGTAACATAAGTAACTTCGTTAGAACATAATTTCTTTATAGTACAGTTTCTATTCATGAAGAATTAGATGTACTTGCTAAAAAGCTTTTGTTTCCATCGTGAGTTAATAAAATACAAAACTTCGGAACATATTACTGTCTTAATACCAAATTGCCACACAGAACTATAATATAACAACTTTAATTTATTATAGCTGCTGGTGTTTCCAGCAGGGCTGTTGTAAAAAGTCTGGAAAATATTTTAACTCACTTTTAGCAAAACTTTCCTTCTTATCCTTTCTACGTTTTTCTTCCTGATTATTTGCTTAGTTGCATTCCAGTACATCAGAAAACAAAGTTGTCAGTAGTGTGTAAAAACTCCTCCCAGAGAGGGTTATAAAAATGAAACTGTTGATAAATCTAAAGGTGATTGTAGATAAGCTGTTAATTTTTGCTATATATTAGGAAAACAAAGCAAATAATTTCAGATATAAAAGATTCAGTAATAAAAATAACTTCTTGAAGATGTCAGTTCAAAATACAAAATAATACTACTGGTATATTTAGATAAAATTTCTCTTGAATGTTCCAGGAAATACTACTTAAAACTAAGCCTTTGGATGTACGACAGTTTTTAAGATACTGTAAAACATGAAACAAGTTAGAATCTCACCCAGTAATTTTGAGAAAATGTCAAAGCCACAATAGTTATAGTTCTACTGTTCCAAGATGAGGCTTGTAGGTCACAGCTCCTGTAACTTCTGTCTGACATATTTTTGTCTGGAGGTATTTGAGGAAAAAAAAAAAATTACATACACTATCCTATTCTTACCTGCCTGACCAAGTTTTAAAAGTATATTTGAAGCTCTACAGAATCAAATTGGTGAGATGTTTCCTCTGAAATACTCACAGAGTCTACTTCAGGTGATAGATACTTTATGTTTCATTTGGCATTTCATTACAAAAACAAGAAAATGTAGGATGAAGAACAAAGTTGTAGACAATTGCCTTAAATACTTGCTTTTAAATTGCCTACATTTAGAATAATTAGGTAGGAAACTATTTTTTTCAGGCTTCCTTCTACTGTAGCAACAATCCTATGAGTATTACATGAATTACAAGATTTAATGAAAAAAGACTGGATTCTTACTTTTGAGTCTCAGATATTCTTGCTTTCATAAGCATAGTTAGAAATACCCAAGAGTTTGAAGTTAGAACAAGTCTTTGAAAACCTCTTCTATAACTAACAAAACGACAAAGTTAAACAGAGCATGAAAGGAGGAGTTCTTTCATACTCACATTCAACAGCTGAAGCATTAACAAAATTATCAAACTGTTCAATATGGATGGCAAGAGAAAATAGTTGCTAAGTTTGCTGAGAGCCTGACCCTGCAAGTGGCCTCCTGTGCTTGTATGACGATCTGTTAAAATCTGTCTTGTCTGAAAACAAGGCCTTTCTCTGTCTGGATGTAGCACCAAGACTGGAGCCTATATATGTATTTACTAACAACTTAGTATGTGAGCTTTCCACACAGGGTATTAAAAATATTTAAATCGGTTAGTTAGTTAGCTGGAAGTTCTATATGGTTAGACTTTTCTAGGTCTACAGACAGCACAAAAAGAGACGACACTGTATCTTCCACAGACTTTAGAACCTATTATTCTAAGGCTTGTATTTAATTTCAAAAGATCATGAAGAAACTCCTTATTTTCCTTTAAGAAAGACAAAAAGAATGCTTAATGGTACATCTACTTGAAGAGAGACAGGGATTTGGATCCTGACTTCTTGAATATACACAGCTGGCCAGGACCACAGTCCTGATTTGCTAACAAAGGCTCTCTAATCAGCCTTCTGTATGATAACTGTATCACACACAGCTTTTATTCTTCAGAGGCAGCTCCTCTCCCAGCCAAGGTGAGAGCTGCACAGGATGGGTTTGATCCACTATTACTATTGTGGTTTACCTGTGCAGGCACATCATCTCACCCAGGATGCACAAAATGCATGATCAAAGTAAGGAAGGATTTCTGATGATAACCTCCTGTTGGGAAAAGGCATATATATGTGTTACCACCCTCAAGAAAGTCAATCCATAGTAGCAAAAACCTTGGAGATATTTCCCATCCAAGTCACCCACAGGACTTGGCATAGCTGACCAGTAGATGCTACTACACACAGAGGGAAAATAGGAGTGAATTTAGGACTAACTAAATAAAACCACCACAAATGAAAATTTACAGATAAAGTTAACAGGAGTTCTGGGGACTTCCATTAGTACAAGAGGTAATGGCCTCAAGCTGCACCAGAGGAGGTTTAGATTGGGTATTAGGAAAAATTTCTTCACTGAAAGGGTTATCAGGCACTGGAACTGCCCACGGAAGTGGTGGAATCACCATCCCTGGAAGTGTTCAGAAGATGGGTAGATGCCCTGAGTGATATGGTTTAGCGGTGGACTTGGCAGTCCTGGAGTAATGGCTGGATGATCTTAAAGGTCTTTTCCAACCTAGCTAATTCTATGATTCGATGATTATTGACATAAACTGAAGAGAAATACCCTCTTAGTGAACTGAAATGCCACACTAGTTATAGTGAGATCCAGAAGCAATCTTTTTATAATTATTTGTACTAAACTCCTTCATATTCTTGCACACTCAATCTGAAAAAGAAACAGTACTCCTGACAAATGGCTTCTTTTAAAGCCTGTCTGAAAACATACACATTTGTATATTTTTGTCATCGATTAAAACAAAGGGCTCAGAAGAACAATTATTTACTTCTGGGCATTATGAGAAATATCTCTGAATTAAATTATTTTCAGGAGTGAAAACTATTAGCACATGAATGAAATTGCATTCTTTTAATAACAATACTCTTTTAAAGGACATTTTGCTCTTGCCTAGAAATACATGGAAATCTGAGTATGGATGCATGCAAACTCCAGCACTTAGTTGAGAATCTGCTTTTGTTGCTAATTATTCAGCGGCAACTGGAAATTATTTAATCTGTCTTGATTCTGTAAAAAACTCACCCCTATGCTCAGAAATAAGCACACAGTTTTATACCATACAAGACCTCAAAATAACAACAATACAGAAACTGGGATGAAACCTCAGTATTCCAGTACTGGGTCTTTGAGAGAGGCAAGACCAGGTGTTTCAAAGGAGGCTTAAGTGAAACACAATTAATAGACAGTCATAGGTTTATTTTATTCTAGCTTTTATACCTGTGGTTTATAGTTTGCTTGTGAACAGATGCTTGTATGTATCTGAAACCTGAATGGAGAGAGATTAGCTGAATCCTATGGTTTTGTTCAAGCATAACACCAGCAATCAGACTTCCAGTATGAAAACTGTGAATTCAATTTTCACTTCCAATGACTGCTCCTTATAACGTCCTCTGTGTCTGCCACTAACTTGATGTGCTAGGGTAGTCCTAACTTGCTAAAATTTCTGTAAGAGGCTCAAGCACTGTTGGAGTATTAAAAACTTCTCAATGAATTTTCTTGCCAGTTACCAGAGCTATTCTGGCATATACTTTAAATATTTTTTCCCAAAATAGTTCTTTAGAGTTTATTTAGTATTTCATATAGACTGCAAATTCACCCCTTGTAATGAAAATATAAGGTGACACCAGTAGCTGAAAAGTGCATGAAATGCAGACTTTAAGTAAAAGAATTAAAAAATTATCATTTTCATGTTGCATTTCCTAAGTCCATATTGAAAATTTCTGGTCCACAAGCTGTATACCAAGCAGGGTTTCAAAGCCTCTAGGAATACCAGTAGGCTTACAAACTTCAAAATGCAGCTTTTCGTCAGGGAGCTAATTCTTGTAAGTTTTGTTGTTGACCACATGTACAGAAAATTCCATTATTGCACAGTATTGGAATAGCAACCCAATGCCTCAGTCACTACGCAATCTTTCAGGCTCACAACACCCTATGCCACAAACACCAACAGAACAGGGGGCTCATCAAACCCATAAATAATCTTGAAAATACTTTGATTCATGTTTTAAGTTGGTTGAGAGATTTAAAAGGTGACAACTCAGCTCTAATTTCATTACCAGTAGAAAAGATCAGCACCATCCTCAACATTGAGCTGCTCATCATCACTCATATCCTCCCTTACTTCGTCACAGACATGTTCGTAACCTAGGATCCAATTAGTTCATGGAAAATGTGCAAAATACATACAAAGATAAATTACATCCATGGAGCAGAACTATCTACTATAGTTCATTTTTCCTACTTCATGAAGGCTACAATCAACACCATTAAGGACATAAAAGGCCCATAAACAAAGCCAGTAGGGAGAGCAAATGTTTTGTAACTATGAAACTTCTTTTAGAAGTTGAATCTTTGCCTTTGGACTTGTTTTTTCAAAAAATGTCATTGACTTACAGACATATTTTATCCAGAAACATAGACTAGGAAATCTTTGGGAGTGAGGGTGTGGAATAAAAGGGTATGGAAAGTACAGGAAAGAGGCAGGGAGAAAATAGCTTTTCACTAAAAATGCAGTTTAGAAGATGCAGATGGATTTGACTTCATTTTTTTAATAAAAGAAAATGTTTGTTCTGTTAAAGATACGTTTGGAGAAATCTGACATAATTATACTGGGGTTTGTTCCAGAAAAGTGATGAATGATACTTAAGGAAAGAAAGAATGTTAAAAAAAAAAAAATCTGTTATTTGAGCCACAATTATTTCTTTTCTCAAATTTCTCATATTGATGAATAACCAATTATTCTTCCAAACCAATCTAAGCATTACAATTTCATGACAGTTTATACCTGATGGCAAATGCCATACCAAGCTCTTTAGGAGACACCTTAGTAGAAGAAGAAGAATAGAACTTGTCAACAGCTGTCCTTTTGCTAGAGCTGTTAAAATTCTAATATTAATAGGTTTTTTTTTTGTTGTTGATAATAATATATTGCAATGTTTTGAATAAAATCAATGTCATCTACCTGGACTTGTGTAAAGCGTTCGACACTGTCCCACACGACATCCTTGTCTCTAAATTGGAGAGACATCAACTTGATGGATGGACCACTCAGTGGATAAAGAACTGGTTGGATGGCCACACACAAACAGCTGTGGTCAATGGCTCAATGTCCAGCTGGAGACCAGTAACGAGTGGTGTCCCTCAGGGATCAGTGTTGGAACCGGTCTTGTTTAACATCTTCATCGCTGACATGGACAGTGGGATTGAGTGCGCCCTCAGCAAGTTTGCCGATGACACCAAGCTGTGTGGTTCGGTTGATACCCTGGAGGGAAGGAATGCCACCCAGAGGGACCTTGACACGCTTGTAAGGTGGGCTGATGCCAACCTCATGAAGTTCAAAAGCAAAAGCAAAAGCAAATGTCTTGCACCTGGGTCGGGGCAGTGCCAGGCACAGTTACAGGTTGGGCAGAGAAGAGATTCAGAGCAGCCCTGTGGAGAAGGACTTGGGGGTGTTGGTTGATGAGAAAATGAACATGAGCCGGCAGCGTGCGCTTGCAGCCCAGAAAGCCAACCGTATCCTGGGATGCGTCAAAAGGAGCGTGACCAGCAGGTCCAAGGAGGTGATCCTGCCCCTCTACTCTGCTCTTGTGAGACATCACCTGGAGTATTGTGTGCAGTTCTGGTGTCCTCAACACAAAAAGGACATGGAACTGTTGGAACAAGTCCAGAAGAGGGCCACAAGGGTGATCAGGGGACTGGAGCACCTCCTGTATGAAGACAGGCTGAGGAAGTTGGGGCTGTTCAGCCTGGAGAAGAAAAGGCTGCGTGGAGACCTCATAGCAGCCTTCCAGTATCTGAAGGGGGCCTATAGGGGTGCTGGAGAGGGACTCTTCATTGGGGACTGTAGTGATAGGACAAGGGGTAATGGGTTCAAACTTAAACAGGGGAAGTTTAGATTGGATATATAAGGAGGAAATTCTTTCCTGTTAGGGTGGTGAGGCACTGGAATAGGTTGCCCAGGGGGGTTGTGAAAGCTCCATCCCTGGCAGTGTTCAAGACCACGTTGGACGAAGCCTTGGGTGAGATGGTTTAGTGTGAGGTGTCCCTGCCCATGGCAGGGGGGTTGGAACTAGATGATCCAAAGGTCCTTTCCAACCCTAACTATTCTATGATTCTATGATTCTAAATACCATAAAAAAATTTCAAGCCTGAGCAATGATTAATTAGGACATATTGAAGATCCAGAAAAGGACAGCCCAGATTTGAAAAAAAAAATAAATTAAAACATAAAAAATGCAGTTTTGTTCCTTGATTATTTTTCCTTTGTCATCAACCTTTTAATATCAAATGCTTTTGAAAAGTCCCCAAGATTAACTTTTGAAATCACTAGGTGTTTTTTAATTCAAGATTTCCCTCCCTGCTTCAGGACTGATTGCAAACTAATTTGCAACCAAAATGCAGGAATATCAAACAAAGAGAACCCCAAAGACAGCACCAGATGAAATCTACGTCTTGTTTTTTAAAGGAAATAAGATATTGGGAATATTTGGTTTGAAAAGATTTTTTGAGATCTAATGGTGAGAAGTTTCTCATTGGTGAACTGATATTGAGAAAGCTTACTAGGTATTGGCAGCACCACAGAAAAACCAAATTATAAGAATTTAGAATGATGAGAAGATTATAAGGGACCACTTCATCTAAAATAAAGATGAGGTTAAAACAGGATTGATCAAGTGTTAGAGCTACGGTACAACTCAGCATGAAACAAGACAAAGACTTTGCATAGGAACACCATGTTCTTATTTACTATTTTTTCTGTATTTAGTTATTTTAAGCAGGGCTAACGTGAGTCTATTGAAAGGCAAAAGAACTTTAAATATAAGGCAAACCATATCTGTATACCGTGAAAAAGATATTCCATACAAAACAATATCTTTAATAAATTTTGTCTGCCCTTTTCTTTCCCAACAAGGTATCCCATCACTCTGTAAGAAGTGTCAAAAATGATCAAATTGGGTGTAGGCAATGTTAAAGCTTTACTTGATGCAAATTATATTGCCCAACTCCTTCATTAAAACGCATAACGATAAAAGAGATAGCAAAAAAAGTGTTTTCTGCAAATTGTAACTACAGCATACAATGGCCAATCAAACTGGAATCCCACAGGTAAAGCATACAAGCCAGCCTACCAACCTATGCAAAGTAAGATTGTAAATTGGTGTTTCACACTTAATTTTTGGTAGTTAGGAAACCAGACCATTAACTTCATTCATTTCATACTTGAATTTTATTAATTTCAGATCTGCAGAAATGGTGTTCATAAATTTCCAAAGCCATCTCCACTTCCCAACAACTACTCTAGTTTTGCTGTGCCATTCCCTGTACAGTTAAAATACCATCTCTGGAGTTCATATCAAACACTCGTATTTGCAATGCTGGTATTCTGGTAGGTCCAAGGAGACTGACAGCACCCAACAAAAAAATCCTCAACTTGTAAGCTTTTGAAAATAAACAAATATCAACGCAAAGTGTGAGGAAACTAGGACAACAAGAGAAAAGATGAAGGGAGATATGGAATAAATACTTTCCATAAAATTTCTTTGGGGAAAATAAACTCCTCTTGTAATTGAAAATTACAGAACTCTGAATATTTCAACATTTATAACAGATTTTGCAAATGTTCTCCAACAACACAGAACACCAGTATCCCAGTATTAGTTGCTGAATGGCTGGAAAACTTTTTGTGAAAAAACCTGTGACTATGCATATTTGCTTACCTAGTCAGTTAAACAAAATTCACCAGCATAAGTAGAATGCATTGCAAAATAAATCTGTAAAAGAAAAAAAAAGTTTAATTATAATTTATTTTTCTTTCTCATATTTTTTATGACGAATTAGTAAATAATGGCTACTGTTATATAGAAATAGCAAGCAGGAAAGTCATACTAAACAAATATCTTTTTCTTAAAATATATTAAGTCACTGCTTTCCGAAAAGAGTCCTGACTGTGTGGCAGGATTACATCTTTAAACATAGTACTAAAACCATTAGGCATACTATACTGCATGCTGTTCAAAAGGATTAAAGGTATCTGTTATGTAGTTAATATCAACTTTTGTATCTCTTCATTCAAATACGAACATAGCTATCTTTATTTCCTTAAATGTTACTCAGATTTATAATGTGTTCATCTTGTTAAAAAAAAAATGCTTTTCTCATTAAAAGTTCTTCAGGGCACTTTAATACACGGCATTCATTTGCTTCTTGCAACTTTTCACATATATATATAGCATGAAAAGAACATTAAGACTGTAACATGATTGACAGAATCATCAGAAAATGCCAAATATTAACCTGCCTGAGTAAAATTTATTTCTTCATGTGCATAGAATATACTATAGTTGCTAATTGCTTAGTCACTAATATTTCTCCATGGGAACTCCTCCTCATTCCTTGTAGAAAAAGACATTCAAAAAAATCAAGTGCTGGTGTTTTGTATGAATTTCATTGTTTAACATGTGGTCTGGAGAGACATTCATGGAGTAGTATTGAAATCCTGGCAAAAAACCTGCAGCATTTTGCTATGGTCTATACACTGTAATCATGATTCCTTTGTTTTTCAAAAACTGCGCAACTCAAGTTCAGCAATTTTATTTTATTTTTTTTTTGAGGAATAACATTGTCATAGATGGTGATAAGAGATCAAGCTGAAAAGCGAGTTCTTAATTAGGGTCACATGAGCTCAGTTTTTTTCACAGGACTCAGCATCACATAGCACTATAGATTTGGGTTACTGCTCACCGTGATTTCAGTTAGTGACACAATCATCAAACACATTGCAAATTAGATGACAAACTGAGGTTACAAACATGGGGAACATGCAATTGCTGACCGTTTCTAAAAAAGCTCTTGAAAAAGACTATGTAAACATGGAAAGATGGTTCTATCATCTCTCTTCCATTTACCTGAGACAGTTGTTTCTGGCATATGGACCATATAGTACTGGCCAACGTGCCTTGCATTTTTCGCTAAAAGAGAAGCCAGTGGCCATGTTGCTGAGAATTTTGTCACAGACCAATGAACAGCAGTGGGAAAGTGTAGAGACAAACTGCACACCCTGTCAGATCAGCCCAACTATCAATAAACCCTAGAATGTATGCTGCTAATAAA